TGTTTGTGAGCATGAAGTTTCATGAATGAGACCATATTGATTGAAATAAGTCTTAAGGTGCTTATTTACATATTCACCATCATTGTCGGAGCGGAGAACCTTAATGATGGCTCCATACTAGGTACAAACCATCGCATGGAATGTTTCAAAGATATTGAGAACCTCATCTTTATGTTTCATAAAGTAGAGCCATGTCATACGGGTACAATCATCCATAAAAATAACAAACCAATGAATGCCAAACATATTCGTAACCGGTAAGGGTCCCCACACATTAAAGTGTATTAAAGCAAATGGAGTGTCACTCTTATTCATGCTTAATGGATAAGTAGCACGGTGGCTTTTAGCCAAAATACAAGTGTCATGCTTCAAATAAGAAATCTAAGTATTCATAAATAAATTCGGAAGAACATGCTTCAAGTAATGAAAAGATCGGTGTCCTAAGCGACGATGCCATAACCAAATTTATCTCTCTTTAGTAGTATGTAGATGGTGCATGTGATGTGCCTGGCCGATATTGAAGTTATCCATATAATATAATCCCCCCTCTTAGTACCACGCCCAACACGCCTCAAGTCTGTAGTAAGTTAGCCTACAGACATCAATTTATGTGATAATGATGGAACAAGTAAAGTGTTGGCTAAATGCAGGGATGAAGATAAAGTCACAAAGCCTACTCTAGTGACCGATGAAATACCACCATTTACATTGGCATGCTGGTTCGACGTGGAGAGGATGTATGAGAGAAATCTAAGGCATCAAATGTCATATGATTTTTGGCTCCTGAGTCGAGAAGCCATGTATCATAAGCCATATCACTGTGGCTGGTAAGTAGGGCAAGACTAGAATTACCTGAGTTTAAGTGGGGACGGGCCTCGGTGGATGTTGCAATTGGTTGTATGAGAGAAAGGTAAGGTTCAGTAGCAGCAGCAACTACAGCTTTGCCTGGACTCCCAGTAGTACCAGCTCCATCGCGATGTTTACAGGCCTGTAGATCATGCCACCAATCTGGGTATCCATGTAACTAGAAACAGTTTTCACGTGTGTGTTTCTAGTTGCCACAATGAGAACATTTTCTTGCATCATTGGTGGTTCACGTCTTGATTGTTTTATTGAGAGTAGAGTTGATTAACTTAAGACCTTTAGAGGCCAAGACAACCCCTGGTATCCCATCAATATTGTGACTGGTCATGAGCTATTGTTGTATAGCCTCTCGTCTAACATGTGCATATGCTTGCTCTACTAAGGGAAAAGGTTTCATTTGTAAAACATCTGCATGTATTTTGTCTAGTCGGTCATCAAGGCCATCCAAGAACACATATACCCGATCTTCCTGCGTGATCTTATTATAATGTTGAATATCAACAGAGTACTCCATGGGATTTAGCCGACGAAAATCAATTTCACGCCATAACCCCTGCAATTCAGTGTAATATTTTTCAAGTGAGCCAGAGGCTTGCTTCAGATAAGTTACATGTCTTCGAAGATCATACACTTGTGATGTATAACTTCCATCAAAGAATGTAGTTGCAATGGAGTCTCACATTGCCTTTGCTGTAAAAAAGCGAATAAAATTGCCAAACAGAGAGGGGTCCATAGAAGTAATTAACCAACCTTTAACAATAACATTATCAGTGCACCATTTACGAAAGGAGGGATCAGTCGGTGGTGGTTGGGGAAAGTCACTATTAATATACCTCAGATAGTCTTTGCCAGAGATATACATCTTAACAACCTGGGACTAGAGAGCATAGTTGGAGCCATCCAACTTAATGCCAATTGGAGCTGCGGAGGGTTTAGAGGCGATGGTTGAGGTCTGTGTTCTATTCAACACCTCAGTCATCCTTGTTGTTAATTCAAGGATAGAACCTGAAAGATGGGACGTGTTGCTATAGGTATTTTGATCTTCAGAGTCTACCATAAATTACGTGGTAGAGAAAAATTGTGTTTTAGGGTGTAGTATAGGAAGCCAGATCGCAGGCTTACTCTGATACCATGATAATTATTCACAATCAATTATATTTTTTATTCTGTATACTGTTTCTTTATATTTATTTACATCAGAAGAGAGCATAAAAGGAAAGAAGGATCAGTATAATCCTAGGCTATCTTTATCTCTCTTATTCACAAGATTTTCACATATTTGGAATGCCTAACAAATCTCCTAATTAATTGCAATTACAGCTTACGCCAACATATAATATGCACCATATAAAAATATGATGGAGAAAATATGTTTTTCAAGTGATTGACCAATAATAATAAATCGCTAAGGGTGTATTAATTAGGAAACAGAAGTTTTGAAGAGCTTGGTTAAAAATAAACTATTCATGGATAAATTGAATAGAAAAGCACAAGTTTTGAAATCAATTAATCAAAACAAACTGCATATAGGTGGACCAATTGAATCGTCAAAATAAACTGTTTATAGATGAATCGATAAAAAATAACACATGTTTTGAAATCATTTGGTTTAAACAAACCTATTACGAGTGACCAATTAAACACAAGATCTTGAAAATATTAATCAAATCAAATCGCTCATAGGTGAACTTATCATAAAAATACATGTTTTGAAATCAATTGGTCAAAACATACAACTTATTTGTGGACCAATTAAATACAAGATTTTGAGAAGATTAGGTTAAAATAAACTGCTTATAGGTGAATCAATTAAAAAAACACATGTTTTGGAATCATTTTGTTAAAACATATCGCTTATAACTGGACCAATTGAACATAAAATTTTCAAAAATGATGGGTTGAAAATGACTTACTCATGGGTGAATGGGTAAACCGATTTAACATGAGGAGTTGAAATCAATTAGACAATCATAAAAAATCATACTGCAAATTTTATAAATTGCCAAGCAACAATCACATCAAGAAATTAGGCCTTTGCTATTTCAGTTTAGAATCACTGCAAAAATCCACAAAAGAATACAGATCAACCAGACCAAAATAAAAAAAAGATAGCTTGGTAATTATCAGCCACACAACATTAATGTAAGCATCACATTTTGATAGAATGGAAATGCATAAAGAAAAAGGTTAAAGAGGCGATCCTGGGCTAAAAGAGCAATATTCAGCAAGATTAAACCACTCAAAGATAAACTTAGATTAAAAAAAAAACAATGAGCAAAACCCATGAAAGAAGTAGATATAGATGATATATAAAGCAAACTGATGCAGTGAAGTGGAATTGATTTTCTAGATGGATTTGCAACATAAGAGATGCAAAGCAAACAAAGTGACTATTGAGATAATGGCTACAAGAACATTTTGGAGTTGATTTGGTCGGTCGATGAATTCTTACGATGATGAGAACATGTTTCATACAAACCAGAGATTAAAAAGAAAAAGCTTTATGTTTTAAAGTACATGCTAGAGTGCTTAAGTCGATTGTTAAAAAAGAGGGTATCCTTGTAAAAGAGGCAAAAATCGACTATCATTGTGAATGTGTTGAATGGAGGGAAAATACATGGGAGGTATAAAACGTTAACATTTAAGAAAAGGTCATAACTATTTCTTTGAATAAAAACTCATAATATAAGGAATCAATAACCAAGAAAAAACAATATGTTTTTATATGAAGAACTTGACATAGCATGAAAAATAAGAGTTTATAAATCAAAGCACCTCTTCATGGATGGATGATGAGGTGTGCTATTTCTTGGTTGGATTGGATGGAATGATTTATCAAGGCTTAAAGGCAATGGCTGCTCCTCCACTTGATTTCTTACGATAAGCAAGTTTGATTTTTGAGATGAAAAAAAGGCCATCTTGGCCATCTTTAATATATTATTTTCTTGTTTTCCTTCTTTAAGCCTTAATTATTTTTTAAATAATAATTCATACTATTATACCAAGAATTTGGCAAAATCAACATAACATGAAGCAACATGAGGGTTTTTCCTTCATCCTTTACATATAATGAAATCATAGAGGAAAACTAAGAAAGAACAATTTTATTAATAATTTCAAGTTTAAATTGAAGAGTTCTTGCCAATTTATTCTTTAATTTTCTTCTTCTTAATCATTCATACTTCTCCCTCAAATTCCTCTCCTTTAACCAAGCTTTTTAATTTCAGCCTGAATATGTTTCTCTTCACAAACCTATTTGCAAGTCTTAATCTCATAATTTAAAAGGATTTCTCAATTGATTTTTTTTTTTTAAAAAAAAGAGACAAAAGAGAAACCTTTTCCTCTCTTTTTAGCTGCTGACCAACATGAACAGTAATAGAAAACATAGTTATATTAGGATGGGTCAATTATTATTATACTTTAACTTACCCCTTCAAATTTTAGTTTATTACACTGACCTGATATTGTGTCTTTATTTTCAGGAATACTCCAAACTCCATTCACCCTTAAATTTTACCTTAAGGTACAACAATATGGCTTAAAACCCTATGTAAAATTTTAACCTGATCCAACGATCAGATTGGAAAATATGTTCAATATTGTAAAAATGAATAGTTGAAAATTTCATGCCAAAATCCAAGTTTCACATACCATATAATTTACTTAAATCATCTTCGATTTTAGACTAATTCTTTGGAAATTACCCTTCATAATTATCATAAAATATTTCTCACAGTTTCTTACCATTTTCAATCCCAAAGGCATGATTGTGCACTGAGATTATATTGAAATTTAATGTTTCTTGTGCAAAGGGTCATGTATTGATTTATTTGATATTTTCTTCTATTTTACACACAATATCACCCAATTTAAAAAATTTTCTCCTTCAAATTATTATTTTTACTTGATTAGGGAGTTTTCATAATTTATTGTTAATTAATATTTTGCAAACTATTTTATTACTTTATCTTCTCTAAATTTTAAATTAACCTCCTAGAAATGTTCATCCCAGTTCATAAAATTTTCTCCCTAATTTATCATTTTTCAATTAATAGTTACCCCATTTAACCCATATTTTTCTATTTTTTGACTAAGGGTTTACAAAGATAATCTTGCATATCCTTTTAATAAGACACTATCCTAATATAAAAATGATCACCATGTGAAACAATAAGATATTAAATAGAAGTGTTTGACTTTGATGTAAGTGGAAGATTGTTAGTTTATATGACATGCAGTCAATCAAGTGTTTACATGTAATATTAATTTTGTTCATGTAAAACATATTTATATTTTTATTTATAAAGGTAATTTTTATTTTTAATATTAATTTAAGTTTGGTTAATGAATCTAGAGTAAAGATAAAGTCTTTAGAACTAAAATATTTTGCAAAAAAATTAAAAAGTAGTTATAATTATGATGATTCTTATTGCATTAAAGTATTGTTCCTAAATGTTCATGGTCAATGTTCAATTAGGGCTAGATATTAATTAGATTTGTTGAGACTGATACATATTATGTCATTTTCTTTATAAAAGAAGTAAATATTCTCATAAGTTAAGGTATGAGAAATACTTAAAACTAATATATAAGTGCTTATTAAATGATAAGTACATTAAATCGACTCACACAAAGATTCAATATTGAGAAATTACTCGTGTCTATGAAAAGATTTATATGATAGTTGTAAAAGTGATCCTTATTCTTGAGATCAAGTTATCTTATATAGGGAATGCTATGTTCTGATCTTGACTACACGTTGTCTTAATCAAATGTAATAAATGTGCAGATATTAGGTATAATATAAACTATATAAATATATTTAAGAAATCTAGAGATGATTCAACACCTAAATGAATTTAAAAAAATATTTTATATGTTTTCAAATAGTATAGATTGAGAAATCTTAGGATAAGATGAAATGAGATTTGAAAAAGGATTTCAAATTTTATTTTTAAAAAATCAATGACTATATTATTGAAAATAAACAAGATTTGACATAGTAAACACATTTCATACTCAAATATCTAAATCATGACATTATTGATGAAAATATAATATTTACATTGAGAAACTGATCATTAAAAGGTTAGGTTAAATCACATATGATTTTCCTAATATTTGGGAGATCATGATACTTTGTTAAACCCCATACTTGATCTTCAAATATAAAGAAATTAATTTGTTAAATTGATAATAAGTAGAATTGTTTAATTTCTTTAACCTTTTTTCTTTATTTAGAATTATGATTTATATTTAGGCTAACATATTAAAAACTTAATGGGTCACACATATGAAGGGTTATTAATAAGAAAATAAATTTACATGATTAATTTTATGGGAATTGATCATAAATAAGTTTTAGAAATTGAGTATTAGATTCTAATTAATACAAAATATTATAATTCTAGACCTATAAAAACTATAAAAACTAAGGAAGGACTTGATTGCATGAATTTCAAATAATTATCTTGAAATAATATATAATATATTTTTGAAGAGGAAAAATGATATTTTATAATTAATAGGGATATCCTGGTATTTCTATGAACATGATGTTATGCCTTGAAATTTTCTCTATACTAATATAGAACTGAATACGTGAACACATTTATATAAATAGACTAGAAAAGAAAAGAAAAGAAAATGGTTAGTACTCAAAATATAATAAATTCCTCTATGATAAAAGGATTTTAATTTTTTTTTGATTTGTTGGTTCATATAAATTATTATTAAAAACTAGATAATTAAATAGTTTATGATTCATAAAAAAGTTTATCAAATATTAAAAGAAAGAGCTAATCTTCCAGTAATCTCAAGCAAATCTTACATTATATTAATGATACTCCTAATTTTTTTTTTAAATTATTGTTTTTATTGTATTTATGTGTTTTGAATTAGTTGTCAAGAACAGTACGATCCTTTTCCCTGTATACCATAAGCCCCCAAACATAAACAGCATGTTTTGAGTTATTCTCGTAATGATCCGAATGGCTCATCAGACAAAGCTTCACTCAAATATGAAAGGTTGAACTTAAAAGACACCCCATTTTAATTTTTTTCGCAAGATTCAAAATGGACTAGGCTTACGATGGATGGATTTCAAGCTGAAATGAGGAAGAAATGACAAAATTTCACTGATGTTATTGTCTAGAAAAAATTCCTGTTCCCGGCACCCTGCTCACGACCTAATCACAAGGGAAGGGAACAAAACTGAGGACCTACACCTGGCCTCCTTAGCAACGTTAACACGTGACATGGCATGGACTCACACCTGATCATGCCCTTTGAGAGTTTCAAAGTGAGAGAAACATTGCTCATATATTCTTAGCATATGCCGGCCCGGTGGGTCTGTGACCCTCTCCTTGATAAACTATTTCATGTGCAAAAGATTACATTTCTTACTTGGTGGTCCTGCAACATTCTCCGTAGGATACCAGTGAAAAGTATTAGCTTGTATACTTTGTAGTTAATTGACAGGGACACATAATTTTGACTTTGTTATTGTTAATATATTTAATTTTAATAAAAAGTTTTTATTTATTATTAATATTCACCTATTATTTAATTAATGAATCTAGAGTAAACATAAAATTATTGTGATAAAAATGTTTTACAAAAAACATTATAAAGTTTTTATAATTATAGGATTTTTATTGCATTAAAGAATTATTTCTAATATTCATGGTCAATGATGTATTAAAACTGGATGTTAATTATACACTACAAGATTTAACAGTTTTACCGATAGAATTTTTTCGTCAGTGTAAGACATATATTCCATCAGTAATTATATTACTGACGACCGACAAAAATAATCCATCGGTAAATCGTTCATCTGTAATTTTTTATCCATCGATAAATCCATTGGTATATTATTACCGACGGATTTACTAACAGAAAAGACGTGTTGATAATAATATTTTTTACTACTGACAGAATTACCGAGGGATATATTCTTATTCTTTTTTCCAAGCATTTTGAGTATATATTATAGAGTATTGATTTATGTTAATTTAATTATTTTATAATTTTATAAAATGATTTTTTTAAAATGTTTTTATATAATTATAAAATAATTAACTCTATAATATATACTCAAAATGCTTGGAAAAAAAAATAAGAAAATCAACTCAAACAAATTTGCAACAAATAAATAAAAAAAAAAATAAATTCAACTAAAAAAATTCATATGAAAAAAATGAAGTTGCAATTGCTAAAAATTTAAAAATCCCTATAAATAAATCAACTAAAAATTGATCTCATATGAAAAAGAAAATCTCACAACAACATTTATACAATTATTAAGAACAAAAAAAATAAAAATAAAAATAAAAAACAAATATAGTGAAAAACAAATATAATGAAAAAAAACATGAAAAAAGAAGAAAAAAGAAAAATCTTACCTTAATGTAGTTGCAAGTGAAGCTAAGGAGAGAAAAAAATAAATCATAAAGCATATTAATTAAAAAAAACTAAGAAGATAAAAGAAGAAAGAAGAAGAAGACATACCCAAGCATGGAGAAAAAGAGAAGGAGATGAGGATAGACAAGAAGAGAAAGAAATAAATGTTTTTTACATGTAGCAAAAAAGAAGAAGAAGAAGCAATGAGCATGTCTCTTGTGAAATAAGAGATTTAGGTTTTTTATTGGAGCGTGTTAGTGATAATTTTACCAACGGATAATTAAATATTAATATTTTTAATTATTCTATCTGTAATATTTAATTGCATAAAAAGTTCTCAGAAACTATCAACAATCACCGATGATTTTTCAATCCGTTAGTGATTCCTTCTATAATATTGAAATGAAAATTTTAAATTAATTGATTTTTTTTAGAAAACTTACAAATAACACTAATGATTTTTCAATCCATCGGTGATTTTTTATGTAAAGAACAACAATTAACAGTGCAATTGGAAAGTAAACAGTTCTGGAGCATTCTGAAAAATACCAATGGAAGTTTCTATCTATGGTTCCCTTTGTAATTAACATGATGAACAGTATTCATAGTTTACCAATGAATTTACTGACGGATTTTATTGACGGATTTTATTTCATTAGTAATTCCGTTGGTAAATCATCATTTTTTTTTTTGCTTTGTTTTAATTTTTTTCCCACTATAATTCCCTCAGTATATACCGAGGGAATATTTCTGTTAGTAAAATTCCTCAAAAATTTACCAATAAAAATATTCCCTCGGTATTTCCGTTTATATTTACCGATTTTCTAGAAGTATAATATCATCTCCACTAATAATTTTTGAATTATATAATGCGTAATTAATAAGATCCTCGGCCGCATTACAATAATGTATCATGCGCAACCCTTTAGGTGAAACTTGATACATTTGAGAATAATTATCCATTAGTTATATGAAACTTATATAGAATATTGATGACACCATATATTAATTAACAATATGAACTAAATAAATTATCAATATCTAGTTAATTAGCTATCATTGGTGAAGTAGAATTATTCAATCTATTTTAATATTATTCTTTAATAATTATCAATTTTCTCCAAAAACAATTCAAGTTCCTTCAAATTTACTTAAATTTTTTACTTAACAATATAATTGATAAAATGTAAAATATAAATATTAAATAAATCATTATTTATTTTATTAGAAAACACATAAGTTATTAAATCAAACTCAAATTCATAGAATAACAAACAAATATAATTTTTTAAAATCTCAAACAAACCTTAACATGTATAAATCATATGTTCATATAACAAATTTCTTTTGAAAAAACTATAAGACAACTAAACATACAAACAAACTACATATACTACATAAAAATGCCAAAAATTAACATAAAAAATATGTGACAATAAAAAATACATAGGTTTGCTTACTTGATATAACAGATTCTCATAAAAATTAAACCAAAACATGGATATTGATAGACTAAATGTTGGGGTGGTTGAATTTATTATGATAAAAAACTTGATTTATAACAAAATAAGAGGAGGGAGGGTGTTGTTTTTTGCAAAAAAAAATAAAAAAGAAT